CTGCCAGGGGCAGGTGGGTGTGCCTGGCCCCAGGAGAGTGCGATGGAGGGGCGCGGGAGTACACGCACCAGGGCTCTCCTCATAGTGTCTGAAATGCACACGGGTTTCACATCCACCTCTGATGTGTGTTTGTTTTCCGAATATGCCTTTGTGTGCATGGGTGTCTGCGCATCTGGGCGCGTGCTTGTACATGTGTGTGTTTGTAATTGTCTTCGGGCAGGAAAGAATCCGCTGGAAGCCACCTCTGCGTGTCTCTCCGGGGGGTGGGATGCAGATTCCGGTGACCCTTCGCTGGAATTGGGCTGTTTTCTGAGGAGTGAGAGCTGTGTGTCCAGGTGTCTGGTCCGGGAACAGGAGAGGCTTGGGGTCACTGTGTGCGAGCCTCTACACAGTGGACAGGGCCAAGCCTTCGGCTTTTTGCCTTTAGAAGTTACCAGTACAGGGCCGGCCCAGTGGTGCAGCGGTTAAGTTCACACGTTCCACTTTGGCGGCCCGGGGTTCGCTGGTTCGGGTCCCGGGTGCGGACATGGCACTGCTTGGCAAGCCATGCTGTGGTAGGCATCCCACATATAAAGTAGAGGAATATGGGCATGGATGTTAGCTCTGGTTCAGTCTTCCTTAGCAAAAACAGGAGGGTTGGCAGCAGATGTTACCTTAGGGCTAATCTTCCTCAAAAAAAAAAAAAAAGTTACCAGCACAGGCATCTTTTGCGAAGATCCCGCCCAAGCTGGTTGCTGTTTTGAGGAGCTCAGCCTCCCGCCCGTGCCTGCTCTGTGTGGCCCTCTCGGTGGCTCCAGAGCTGAACCGTGTGCACAGGTTCCTGTGTGGTTGGGTCCTGCCCCCCATGGAAGACCCTCGGCCCCCGTGGCTGTCCCCTGCTGGCTTCCTTCTCATCGTCTTCTGTGCGGCCACGGTCACTTCCTCACATGAACGTGCCTGGCCGCCCCTCGTTTCTGGCTTGGGCTGGGGCTCTGTCGGGGCAGCGGAGCAGCCACGTGCCCAGAAGTAAAGCGAGAGCTGCGGGGAGTGCGATCAGGACCACAGCGAGACGTCAGCTTGTGCCCGCTGGCACGGCCGTGACCAAGCCAGACCTCAGGAAGGGCTGGAGGCTGCGCAGCTGCACCCTCGGCGCGGCAGGCGCAGTGGGCAAGACCGGGAGATGGTGTCAATGCGAGAGCAGCTTGAGGCTCCTCACACATAACAGAGCGTCCCGTCTGAGTGGCACTCCCCTCGTTAGGCACTCGCCCAGGAGAAGTGAAGGCACAGGTCCACGCAGAGACGCGTGCATGAGTGTCCACAGCAGCCTGAGGCCCGAAGCCCCAAGGTGGCAACAAGCCAGGGTCCCTCCACAGGGGAGTGGATGGGCAGATGTGGTCCATCCACGCTGGAACGGGACGCAGCCCTAAAGAGGAGTGAGGCCCTGGCATGGCTGCACCTGGACGGACCTTGAACCCACGATGCTCGGGGAGAAGAGCAGACACCGGGGGACAAATGAGATCTACTCACGTGAGGTGCTTAGAGTCAAATCCAGAGAAACAACGTGGATTTTCGGCTCCAGGGGGGGCGGAAGGAGAGAGTGGGAGTGGCTGCTGATGGGGACAGGGTTGCTTTTGGGGTGATGGAATGTTCTGGAACTGCTGGTTGCCCAGCTCTGCTGATAGAAACCATGCTTCAGTAACAGCCATTGAACCGTCCCCTTTGAAAGGGTGAGTCGTGTGGTCCGGGGTTTCTATTTCCTTGATGTAAACGGCAATGAGCCAGGGACTCAGACACAAAAGCGTGGGCCTCCCACCCTCGGCGCAGGGAAGTGCTGGGCGTCCTTTGTAGCAGCGGCCGCTGCACCCCAGATGTGCCCTGTGGGCCTCACCCCGGGACACGGCCTGGGGGCTTGGGAGGACGCGAGGAGGGTTGCTATTGAACAGCCAGCTGGAGGCTGAGGCCTGTCTGCGCAGATGGGCCTGCCGCCGAGGCCACGGGCGCATTTGGAGGCTTTCGTGCGGTTTCCAGGTGCACGCGACCCCTGGCCCAGCCGCCTCATGTTCCCTCCTGGCCGCTGTCCCGAGGCCCCTGTCCCCCTCACGCCTTCCAGGCTGTGCCAGTGGCGTGGCGGGTGCCATCGATGGAGCCTGGCAGGTGGGGATCCCCACAGGCCCCCTTCCCCCCGCCCTGTCCAGCCCCTGCTCCTGGCAGACATGCCCTTGGTGCCTTCTCATCTCAACCCCCCTGGTCACCGGTGCCCACCTGAGTGATGGCCCCAAAGCAGGCCAGGCCCCACCCCTTCCTGACTGAAAGCCCCAGGTCACTTCCACGTGCAGTGGGGTGGAGCACGCGACTCTGGGGCTGGGTCCTCCAAGTGCCCCCTGGCCCAGAGGGGAGGAAGCCCCTTAGCTGGCGGAGGTCCACGTGCTGCCCCCTCGCCAGGCTCCCCGTCCCCTCAAGGGTGGGGACTTGGGGCACCGGAAGCTCCTCGAGAAGAGCGGCGCTTGAGCCCGGCGTGACTCGCAGTGCACACGCGTTACAGGTCAGCGAACCACGCGGCGCCCGTGGACACGGAGAGCCCGTGGTTCTCAGGAAGCTTGGGTTGATGGCCAGATTCTCCCGCTGTGACCAGCCTGGGTTCCAGGTCTTCCTGTGCGGACTGAGACCTGAAACAGGCCGCAGACCCCACTTGGGAGCAGCCTCTGCGGGCTCAGTGCTGTTCGCGTCCGGACGGCACCCCCGCGGCCTGCTCCCCATCGCCTGCCATCGTGGCAGCCGCCTCACTGGGGTTCCCACAGGGCGGGGACGGGCCGGGACCTGCAGCTCCGCCGGCTTCCGAGGGTGGACCGTCCCCGGGGCTGAAGGCACTGCGAGGAGCAGTGTGTCACTGTCCCTGTGTCTCACCCGGAGGGGACGGATGGAGAAGACCCTGGACGTAGATAAAGTGGCCAACAGTGAAGCGATGGGGGGTCCAGGGTTTATTACCTTTGTTTTATTGTAATTATTTCCTTGTAAGTTTATGTAAGTTTACGTACTTTCATCTGCATTGCCGCTGCTCGCGGTCAACTCCCAAATTCCCAACAGCAAACAGTCCCCACAGGTGATGGGTCACAGGTCAGGAGGTGGCCTGGCCCCTCTCTTGAAATTCCAGGACAGCTGCAAGTGGGCAGCCTGTGGCCTGCTCCCTGCCGCCACCTCGGCCCGGGCTCCTGGTTCGCAGCCGCCTCGCCTCCAGTGGGAGCGTCCCCCCCCCCCCCACCGCGGGCGGGGCTTGTCCCAGGCCCCAGGGAGCGCAGGGCTGTGTCCTCACACGGGGCCTCCCCGGAGCCCAGGGAGATGGAGACGCACGGGGAGTGGGGGCTCCCGGGACGGGGTCCACTCTGAGCTGGCCCGGGCGTCTCTGCTTTGAGCCTGGTGACTAGCGTGTCCTTTGTACGCCATGGAAGGTGCTGTTCTCGGGCTGGGGTGGGCCGGACGCTTGGCCACTGTGCTGGATGGTGATAGCCAGGAGGGCACTGAGGCGTGTCCAGATGGGCAGGCACTGTGGCGGCCGATCCCAGTGACCCCGGGGTCAGTGGGGGACCTGGGAGTTGGGTTGGCAGCTCACCAGGAAGGACCGCCTAGGGGAGCACCCGCAGCATTGGAGCCGGGCCCAGGGGCCCGCCAGGCCAGGCCTGTGCGGTGCTTCTTGTTGGGGCTGACCTGTCCGCACGGCTTGTTCTCGTCCTTGGGAAAGGCCAGCGAGTCACCCTGGTTTCAGCACCGTGAGGTTTTGCCTGAGCCCTGGGCCCCCGCCCGCCCGGACGGCGCGGGGTCTGCCCGCTGTGGGCCTGTGCTCTGGCCGGGTGGCCGCGACGGGACCCAGCCTCAGCCAGTCGCCAGGAGGTGGGCAGTCTGCGTGGGCGGCTGAGCCGGGGCGGGCGTGCACACACGTGTGGGGTGTGCGTGGTGTGCACGCGTGTGTGGTGCGCGTGTGGGGGAGTGCAGGAGTGCGTGCACGCCCCGGGTCCTTTCCACCTTGTGGTCCCATGTCTCCGTGCATGTGTGGCGGGGATCCCCTCTGTGGAGCAGCCCCACCCCCTCACTCCCAGGAGCCCAGGGCCAGCAGAGGGCTCTGTCCTCCATGTGCTTCTCAGGCCCCACTCTCATGTCCCCATTGCCATCCCCAGCACTCCGTTTCGACGTCTGGGTGGGCACTTCTTGGTTGATTTGAGTGGGGTGACTGGCTGGGATGGGGGGGACTAGGTTCGGGGAGAGCTTGTGGGCTCAGGATGGGTCGAGGGAGGGAGCCGGGGCTGCGGGCAGGCCCTGGGTGCCCACGCTGTGCCCAGCCCTGCTGGGATGTCTGCCCCTCCCTGCGTCCTGGGAAGCTGCTCGGGCACCTGCCATCCTCTCTGCGGCCCCTTCCTGCCCAGTCACCCTTTGCCAGGCTTGCTCTTGCCACTGCGGCCAGTCACCCGGCTGACCACAGGGTCACAGGCTCCTGGAACTAGGCCTGGGGCCTTTCACATCTCCTGGACGTCCCAGGTTCAGGGGACAACTTGGAGGTCCCCAGGGACTCTGCTCTGCCATTGGTCATCTTTCCTCCTCCTCTGAGCGGCGCTGTGGCTTGGGGAAGGGGGCTGTGGCGGGCTGACCCCTAGTGTCTCTGCGCCAGGCCTGGGGCCCCTTCCTGGCTCCAGGGTTCTGGGGCCTCTCACTCGATTGGCGTTACCCGTCCTAGCACTGTCGTCCTTGAGCCGTGTTGTGGCGGTCACACGACGGAGTGTCCCCCCCTTGACGCGGGGCTTCACGAGGGCCTCAGCCACCTGTTCTCTGTGCCCCAGGAAGTCACGGTCGCTCTCGCGCCTTCAGAGCTCTTTCCAGAATGCTGTCTCACCGCAGGAGCCCCCTTGTGGTGTCGCCCTCAGTTAACGCTGACCTCCCCCGTCCCCCGGGTCCCCTGCCGGGCTGCGTGCCGGGTCTCGCAGCATCATGGGGGGCATCGCACCTGCTAATCTGTGCCTCTGTTTCTCCGCCAGCCGGGAGCCACGAGATTTGAGGCGGCGGGACCTGTCAGCAGAATGTGTCCTCCCCCCGCGCACAGCCCCAAGGCCACCGAGATGAGAGCCGCGGCTTGGCCCTCGCGAGCGCCAGCGTCTCACTAGCCGGGGTCCGCCGGCCGCCATGGTGTGCTAGCCCTGGAGAGCCACCTGCGATCTCACGTCTCCACAGACCCGGGATTTGCACGGCAGCAGAGTCACCGTGGAGAGGCCAGGGTACCACAAACTTATGGATTTTGACAAGAAAGGAGGGAAAGGGGAATCGGAGGAGGGCCGGAGAATGTCCAAGGCCGGCGGCCGGACCAGCCACGGTGTCCGGACTTCGGGGACCAGCTCAGGGGTCCTGATGGTGGGCCCCAACTTCCGGGTCGGGAAGAAGATAGGCTGTGGCAACTTCGGGGAGCTCCGGCTAGGTGAGCCCTGCTCATTCACATTCGGGGGGTGGGGGGAGGGCTGCCTGGGGGCGCGGCCGTACGCAGACAGACCCCCAGACTGTCGGGACCGGGAGCACAGGTACGTATGTGGGGTCCCCTACCCCAGGAGGAGGAGGTTGTGCGGGAGCCCGGCCCCCCCCAAACTCCAAGGGGTCTGGGCCCACACACCAAGGGCCACCCCGGGGGTCCAGGTGTGGCTACAAGTCCAGCACTTGGCTCGGGGCTGGGGCGAGCCAGGCTTGGGGTTCCTGAGCTAAAAGGCCGTCGAGGGCGGGGGCCCGAGCTCTGTCTGCCGGTGGGAGGGATGCGGGGCTGTCACGGTCAGTGATGGAGACGGCCATGGGTGCCGGACAGACAGCACCCTCCCCAGAGCCCAGCCCGGCTGCCTGGCAGAGCGGCCACTCTTGAGCTTGCCCTGGATGGCGCCTCTTTGACCTGGCCCTGCTGCCCCCTAGGACGTGCGTGTGCACACAGACATATGCTCGCACATACGTGGGCACACACACACTCCCCCCAGGCCCAGAACTGACCTGCAGCCTGAGGGTCCCTGTATGGCCTGAGCGGCCGTCGTGGCCCCGTCCTGGGCATCGGGAGCAGCAGCCTGGACAGAGCAAGTCTGTGTAGACAGACGAGCGCGTGTGTATCGGGGGCCCTGGGAGGCTTGCTTTTATTTCAGACGTTTCCTAACTCTGGGGCGCGTGTTCTTGCGGCTTGGCGTGGTTTGAGAGTTGCCACATTGTCATGGTGCTGGTCGTGGTTGCCCCATTGCTCTGTCCGTGTGTCAACTGAGTGCCTTTCACTGTCCGCCCTCCTGCTCGGGGACGCTGGGCCACGCCCAGGTTTGGCTGCTGTGAGCTCAGCGTCCTTCTCTGGGTCTCGGTCGCGTGTCCTCGTTGAAGCGCGGGGTCGGGAGGAGGGCCGTGCCTAGGAGAAGTGCTGTGGGCGCCTGGAGCGCTGGGCTCCGCGTCCCACCAGCCCTGGGGTCAGGCTGCCCTGTCTGGGCGTGTCAGCGGCTGTGAGTGTGTCTCACGTGAGCTGTTTGCACTTCTCTGCTGAAAGATGTTGAGCAACATTGTGTTTCATGTCTTTTTCGGGTTGTTTTGAGGATTTTTTCTTTATCTTCAGTTCTAAATCTGGATGCTGCCTTGCTCAGGGGTGGTTTTCTCTGTTTATCCTGCTTGGGGTTCGTGGAGCTTCTTGAATCTTTTTCAGTGGTATTCACGCTTTTTCATTAGACTCGGGAAACTTTACCTGTTATCTCTTCAGATGTTTGCCCGCCTCGGTCTGCTCTCTGCTCCTCCACCCTTGTCGCACGGAGGCAGGCAGCGGGCGCTGTCGCTCGGGCCCATCGTGCAGCCCCTTTTCTCTCGCTTCAGCCTGGACAGTGTTCGCGCCCTGCTCCAGGGTCCCCTTTCTTCCTGTCTGCACTGTAGTCTGGCGGGAGCCACCCAGGGATTTCTCCTTTCACACGTCGTATTTTCTCTTCATTTGACTCCCGTTTCCCTCTGGACCTTTCTCTTGAAATCCTCGAGTGCTTGCGGCCGTGGTGCTCTGACTGTGTTCTTGCTCGTCCCGGTCCCCTGTCCCCCGCGCTCACGCGTCTGGTGGTCTCCGTCGTGCATTGGGCAGTGTGGCGCCGCGCGTTCGGTCTGGGTTGAGCTTCGTCCTGCCGACTGGTCTCGACTCCGTCTGGGACTGGTTTTTGCCCCGCTCGGGAGCTGAGAGCAGATGCCCCCAGGGCTAGAGCTGCCGTCCCCAGGGTGTGGCCTTCCTGGATTCCTGGTGGAGTGTCAGCGGGTTCAGGAGGCCTCCACGCTCTGGGCGGCTGCAGCTCCAGCGTCCTCCCGCCTCGTGCGGCCCCAAAACCTCCCGTCTGCGCACGGGCCCTGGGGAGTTGCTCTTTGAGGTCCTGCAGATGCTCACCTTCCGCCTGCTCAGCTGAAACGGCGACACGGGCATCGCCGAGGCTCTCAGGGCCAGAGCCTGTAAACCCACAGACCTCAGATGCGTGCACGCACGTGTGCCCACAGACACGCACACACGCTCCCTTCAACCTCGGGCTGGACTCCAAGGACTGGGTCTCCCAGGGCTCAAAGCACGAAGCGTCTTCAAGACACAGGATGAAAGCGCCAGGCACCGTGAAGGATCAGTTAGACTCGGGCACCGTTTAGCGCGTCTGCTTGTCAGCACCGTCAGAGCCTGGACGGGCGAGCCATGGCCCAGGAGGTGCTGCCGTCAGAGCCCAGCTGGCAAAGCACTGGTACCCAGGGGACCGACCGGATGAGGATGCGATGGTAAAGGGACAGACGCCCCAACTAAAAGCGGGCAAGAGGTTGGAGCAGACGCTTCGCAAGAGCAGACGGACGATGGCCCGTCTGGCACCGATCAGAGCAGCTCTGCTGTAAGGGAATGCCTGAGACCACCAGGCGTCCCCTGCACATGGGGTATGTCCCGATGCCGCCCAGCCGGGAACAGGAATGAGCCCTGGGCACACCACAGCACGGGGCGTCTCCACCGCACTGGGCCCTGGGACAGGAGCCAGGGAGGAGAGCGCGTGCGGGCGGTTCACCCTGGGGGCCCTCCCGGAGGAGACGGTGGGCCTTGACCTGGAGGGGCGATGACCTTCTGTCATGATGGGAGGGGGGTGGCCCAGGCTCACAGGTGTGCGCTCCGACGTGTGCGCTGCCCAGGGACGTGGCGCCCCCCGAGGGAAGGAGGGGACCATGAGGAGGCGCTGAACTCGGTCTCTGGCTGGAGCGTTTCGGGGCCGGGGCCGCTCTCTAAGAGCAGGAGATTGACGGGTGACGGACGTGCAGATATATCAGCAACGGAACAGACACGGTGAACAGCCGATGGTGTGATCCAGGCGCTGAGGGTTCGGCTGTGCTGTGCGTTTGAAACTCCCCTGAGAAAGCGTTGGGGGAACACGTGAGGCACCTCGGTTTTTGTCAAACCCAGGAACCAGGACTGGAAGCAAGCTGGCTTTCCCTGCTGACAGGCGCCTGAGGGCCTTGCGGTCCCCGCAGAGACTGGGCACCCCCGCGCCCCATCCAGGCAGGGGCAGGAAACGGGGTCCTCGTGACGGGAAAGAGATGGGGAGAGGCGCAGCGGACGGCCCTGGATGCACGGTGGTGGCGCGTGGAGGCCGGCGGCGGCTCCATCGGCAGCCAGAGGTGGAGGGCTCGCCGGGCGCTGCCTGTGCCAGCACGACATCAGCTGTGTTTCTCTGTCCCAGCAGCCACCAGTCGGGAAAAAACATACAAACGTCACCAGGCATCCGAGCGCCAAGCCCGCCTGGTGCCTCCTGCCCGGATCTGAGGAAGCACACCCGGGCTCTCCACGCCACCAGCCACGGGCACCACGAGCAGCCGCGTGGAAGGGGTGGGTCGGTGTAGGATGCCCCCCTGAGGTCTGCAGACTCCGTGGCACTGCAGCAGGGCTCTGGGGAGACCACCGGCGGACTTGGCTGCGTGCGGACGCAGATGCCTCAGGACCAGATGGAGCGGGCGGGGGGACCTGGCCACCACCTGAGGTCGTCCACAGAGGGACGGCCTGAGCGCATGTCACCCGGACTGTCCCGCTGCAGCAGGGTGGATGGGGGTGAGGCCTCCTCCCACGGTGGACCCCCTCAGGCCTGACAACAGCAGCACCTGGAGGAGTGGGGACCCGCGTGGGGCTGTGTGCGTGCGGTCAGCACCTGGCGAAGGCGGTCTTGGGACAAAGGCTGCACAGGACGGCGCTGGGAGGGCTGCGGGACCAGAGCACTGGCGCATGTGCGCACAGCGCTGTGTACGGCAACCCGAAAATGATACGAGGGCCTGGGGCGGCCCTGCCTCCCATGGCAGGTCACCAGGGGTGATGACAGGACTGTCTGGCGCTCTGCCCGCACTAGGGACCATAACAGGTGGAAAAGTGGACCTCAGGAGACCCCGGGGCTCGTGCTGGGGCAGCTCCGTGAGGTTGCGTGGGCAGGCTCTTTCTCTACAGGCGCTGGGGGTCCTGGGGGCTGGGCTCGGGGAGGCCTGGCCCGGCCGCGTCTGTTTCCACCCTGAGAGGGACACGGGTTCCCCACCTGGGCATGCGGCTCTGTCACCTGGGGAGCCGGCCGTGGGCCCTCCTGAGTGGGCAGGGTCTCAGCTGACACAGCTGGGCCGGGGCCTGCATCGGGGTCCCAGTGCGGGCGAGGGGCGCGGGAGGAGAGTGAGTCGTGTGGGGGTGTAACATAGCTCCTGGTGACTTCTGTCCTGGGCCCCCCACTGCACAGTCATGGGGCGGGGGAGAGGAGGCACGGCCTGCGTCCCCTGGGGGTGGGGGGCGGCTCCGGGATTGCAGTCTGCCACCTCAAGTCTGTGAGTCCCACACGAAGGCATCGAGCGGACTCAGTCAAGTTACCGGGCAGCCCTGGGGGAGATTGGGTGGGGGCGCCCGCATGGGGGGCTTCCCGAGCATCTGGGGCAGTGTGGTGGGGAGGGCACTGCCGAGTCTCCTCCAGCTTTGCCGCAGCGGGAGTGGATGAAGGGCCATGGGGTCACGGGGTCTTTGTTCTATTTTCCCTTTTTTAGATGGGACAGTTGGAGGCCCTGGCGCGCTGGTGGGGAGGACCCCGCAGAGGAGTTGGGAGCAGCCCCTTGAGTGGGCCGAGGCAGGGTTGGCCTGGGGGTGGGCGGGGTGCCGGGGTGACTTTGGGGGCTGGGGTGGGTGGGGTGCTGGGGGGTCAGCAGGAAGGTGGTGGGGGTGCCAAGAGAGGAGGGTGCGGGGCCCCTGGGGGCCTCCCACGGCGGCGCGGGGTGCCTTGCAGACCGGGCGGGCTGGGCCGAGCTCAGGGGGCTGGGGGACAGGAGTTGGCCCTCGGAGGGCCCTGCGAGCTGACTGCCTCTCCTCCACAGGGAAGAATCTCTATACAAATGAATACGTAGCTATCAAATTGGTGAGTCGGGGCCCTGACCCCCGCCCCCTCCAGCCGCCTGGGCCCCCGCTCACACCCGCGCAGCAGCCCTGGGGTGGGGTCTCGGGGCTGGGGGAGGAGCGCGCCGGCGCCCCGGTGACGGCCGCCTGTGCCCGCAGGAGCCCATCAAGTCCCGGGCGCCGCAGCTGCACCTGGAGTACCGCTTCTACAAGCAGCTCAGCGCCGCAGGTACCGGGGGCGCGCGGGGCGGGGCGGGGCGCGCAGGGCGGGGCGGGGCGGGGCCGGGGCGCGCGGGCGCCACACGAGCGAGTGTCCGTCCGCCCGCAGAGGGCGTCCCTCAGGTCTATTATTTTGGCCCGTGCGGGAAGTACAACGCCATGGTGCTGGAGCTGCTCGGGCCCAGCCTGGAGGACCTGTTCGACCTGTGCGACCGCACGTTCACGCTCAAGACGGTGCTCATGATCGCCATCCAGCTGGTGCGCGGCGCGCGGGTGGCTGGGGGGGGGTGGGGAGGAGGCGCGGCGGGGGCGGCGGCGGGGCTGGGTGGCCTGGGTCCCACCCGCGACGACCGCGTGCCCCCCCAGATCACGCGCATGGAGTACGTGCACACCAAGAGCCTCATCTACCGCGATGTGAAGCCCGAGAACTTCCTGGTGGGCCGGCCGGGCAGCAAGCGGCAGCACGCCATCCACATCATCGACTTCGGCCTGGCCAAGGAGTACATCGACCCCGAGACCAAGAAGCACATCCCGTACCGCGAGCACAAGAGCCTCACGGGCACGGCGCGCTACATGAGCATCAACACGCACCTGGGCAAGGGTGAGCGGCGCGCGGGCCGGGCGGGGGGGCGCGGGGGCCGCGCTGACCTGCTGTCCCCCCGCAGAGCAGAGCCGCCGCGACGACCTGGAGGCGCTGGGCCACATGTTCATGTACTTCCTGCGCGGCAGCCTGCCCTGGCAGGGGCTCAAGGTGGGTGCGGGCCGGGGGGCGGGCCTGGCGGCCTCCGCGGCCGGGTGCTGACCGCTCTCCCGCAGGCCGACACGCTCAAGGAGCGCTACCAGAAGATCGGGGACACCAAGCGGGCCACGCCCATCGAGGTGCTGTGCGAGAGCTTCCCAGGTGAGCCGGCCCGCCCCGGCCCCTGCTCCCCGCACCCCCTGCCCCTTGCAACCCCTGCCCCTGCTCCCCACGCCCCCCGCCCCTCCTCCCCGCACCCCCTGACCCCAGCCCCTGCTCCCCGGGCCCCCTGGCCCTGCCCGTGCCCCTCGCTGTGCATCCCCGGACCCCCGCCCTGTGCCAGCCCCAGCCTGCCGCTCGCTCTCCGCAGAGGAGATGGCCACGTACCTGCGCTACGTGCGGCGCCTGGACTTCTTCGAGAAACCGGACTATGACTACCTGCGCAAGCTCTTCACCGACCTCTTCGACCGCAGCGGCTTCGTGTTCGACTATGAGTACGACTGGGCCGGGAAGCCCCTGGTACGTGGGCGGGGACGACCCGGGGGGCGTGCAGGGAGCCCCTGGTAAGTGGGGGTGGGACCCTGGATGTGGGGCAGGACTTTGGTCGTGAAGCCACGGGCCCTGGGCAGCAGGGGGGCGGGCGGCGGCCTCAGCCTGCGTCCTGTGCCCCGCAGCCGACGCCCATCGGCACGGTCCACACCGACCTGCCCTCGCAGCCTCAGTCTCGGGACAAAGCCCAGCTACACGGCAAAAACCAGGTGAGGGGCCGGGCCCAGGACCCCGACGGGGGCGGGCGGGGGCCACGTGACTCCATGTTGCCCCCTGCCCCCCAGGCGCTGAACTCCACCAACGGGGAGCTGAATGCCGACGACCCCACTGCCGGTCACTCCAACGCACCCATCACTGCGCCGGCCGAGGTGGAGGTGGCTGACGACACCAAGTAAGGCTGGGTGGCAGCCGAGGCTGGGGCGCCCTGGGCCACCCGCCCCCGAGCCCCTGGCCCACCTCCCGCCCCTCGCCGTCCCTCCAGGTGCTGCTGTTTTTTCAAGAGAAGGAAGAGAAAATCCTTGCAGCGACACAAGTGACGAGGGCGGTCTCTGGACCCTCTGCCGCGGCCCTCAGGGCGCTTGTCACGGCCGTGGCCCAGCGGACGTGGACTGTGGCCGCCGGGCTGCGAGCCCCCGGCCGCCCTTCACAGACTCGGGCCGAGCTTCCCCCCGTGTCTGGCCGCCCCACCGAGAGCACTAACTGTCCGCCCGGAGCGCGCCGGCCGCCGTTGCAGTGAGTAGAGGCGCCGGTGGTGTCATAAAGTCCAGCTTGTCTCCCTCGATCCAAAGGCCGTTTTCTCGAGGGGGCGCTGCGGGCGTCGCTGCCGGGGGCGAGCCGCCTGGGCCTCCCTGCGCCAGAGGGCACGGCGGGGTGGGCGGCCCCCAACCAAAATGCTGCACCAAAGCTTGGGCCGCCGTGGCCCTCGGGCCAGCCGCGCCTGCTCGCCGAGCTGCGCCCAGACCCGCCCCGGGCGGCCCGCTCGACCCGGCCTGGCAGCCCATGTGGGCTCCTGTGTCCGCTGCGGCGCTGGCCAGCGAGGGGACGGGCGCTCGGCTGGGCCGCAGGCGCAGGGGCGGCACCCATGGGACTGCGTGCGTCCTGGAGGCCCGGGCGCTGTGCAGGCGGCCGTGCGTCTGGGTCCTGCTTCACCGAGTGTACAGAATGGCACTTCCGTTTCTCTCATGCTTCCTGGAAGCCATAGAACTTAGGGGCTTTTTTAAAAAAATAAAGGAAAACGAAACCAGTCCTGAGTGTGGTGTCCGGTCTTTCCAAGAGGTAGAGGCAGCGCCCTGCCCCCAGGAAGGGACAGCACCGCAGGTGGTGACGATCTGGATGGAGCCCGGGCGTGGCGGCCCCCTCTTGGGGGACGGGCAGTGGGAACAGCGGAGGGCCGGCTGGTCCTGTGGGGACAGGCAGGGGACACGGTTGCCTGCCCGGGAGGAGAGTGGGGAGTCACAGGCAGGGATCTGGGTGACGGGCGTGGCGTCGGCCGTCCACACACACGGTGTGAACCCGACTACGCGGCTCCCTCTTCCAGGACAGCCCAGGCCCCGTGTGCCAGGAGGGGCCGAGCGCGCCCACAGCAGGGGCAGGAGGAAGCGTGTGGCGGCCGTGAGCGCAGCAGGCCAGGCAGAGCGGTCTGCTTGGCCGTGCACTGAGTGTCCCCCACAGTCCTGTGGACACCTGACCCCAGCACGTGGGCCGTGGGGGCGTGGGGTGCCGAGGGCCCAGTGCCTTAGAAGAACGCCAGCGCTCGAATCTCCCACGTGAGGAGGCGCACAGGCGGCCGTCTGCAGGCCAGGGCGCTGGCCCTATCTGGAGCTGCGTGCCGCCCGTCCCTGAGCACACAGCCTCCAGGCGCACCCCCGCCGAGTCTCGGGTTACTGCAGCCGTGCTGACTAGACAGTGGCCCAGAAGGCGGTGACGGAAATGCACGGGAGTTCCTGAAGAGAGCCAACGGGCCGTCCCAGGTGGATCGCAGCATTTTCTGGCACTTTCTCCCCAGCAGCACAGAACCAGCAGAAGGGGAGACCCCGTGTGCGCTAAACCCTGTCCGCACCTCGGAGGTGAGCGCAGGTCCCCGGGTGTCTGCCCTGCCCCTCTGCAGGACCGTGGGGACAGACACTAGGGGCCAGGAGCAAAGGAGAGAAGTCACAGCCTCGCCCGACGCGGCTTCATTGGGTGGGCAGCCGCGAGGCCAAGGCGGCAGGACCTGGTCCAGCAGCGTCTGAAGACGCGGAAACCATCTGGGATCAGAAGTTCACACAGTAAGGACAGAAACGGGCCAAGAGGAGAAGCGAAAGCGGCTGCTTGCGTTTAGGAGGGAAACGCAAGAAGAAAAGCCACTGGAAGCGAAGAACAAGTCGCAAGGTGCCCAGGCCTCCAGCAAAGGTTGGAGAAAGGGGCTCGGAGTCAGGAGGAGGCGGCGAGGAGCCGGAGCGCGGGTGTCGGGAGCGAGGCGGAGGCCCGCGTGACTCCGAGCTCTGAGGACGGGACGCGGATGGGCCGAAGCTGCTGTCCAGGCTGCTCCACACACAGGGACCCGCGTCCCCGTGCCCGCCGGGGACCTGGGAAAGCTGGGGGGTGTCAGGCCTCGGAGGACGACTGCAGTCTAAGAGCGTGATGATCCTCAGGCCGCGGGCAGAAAGACGCATAATCCAGCGAGGCGAGAGAAGTCGGCACCAGACTTTTCTAAACCAGCGCACGCAGCGAGGCGACGATGGAGCACCCTCTGCGACAGCGCAGGCCACGAGCGACAGCGGAGGGCGCCCGGCCACCGGGCCGTCCTTCCGTCTCACAGCCGCAGCCCTGCCTGTGGCTTCAGCTGGCGGAGGAGCTCTGCCTGCTGGTGAGCGTGTAACACGCATAAACGTACACCCGGGACACAAAGTGGGGCTCGGGGCTGGGACCAGGTTGCCGCCTCTGTGATGTCGTGAAGCAGAAGCAACTGTAAGAGCAAGACGAGGAGCGGGGCCAGAATGGGCCCATGGAGCTGGGCTGGGACCGGGGGATCCGGCCCAACGATGGTGTCCACCACGCGGGCAGGTGGGTAAATGCAGAGATGCATGCGTGTGCGTGTACACTGGGGCCTGTGCCCACCTGGCCCCACTTGCACCATCTCTGTCCTTTGTTTCCCTCCTGACGTACGCCCCAGTTCCCTGCGACTGGATTGGCTTTATAGAGCCGAGCCTGCAGGACCCCTCTTTGTTCAGACTGTCACACGTGCACGCACCGTGGATGCCGTCTGCCGCCCTTCACTTCTCCTGCCGACCAGAGGGTCGTCTCGGCCGGAAGCCCCCCCAACGATGTTTTAATCCCAACGGTGCGGGTTTGTTGGCAGCAAACGCGCTCAGCTCTTGGTTGCCTGAAAACATCTTCATTTCGGCTGCAGTAACGAAGGACGTCTCTGCCGGGAGCAGGGTTCTGGGTCGGCAGGTGGTGTGGTTTGGTGTTTTTGCCTTTCGGCATTTTAAAGACACCGTCCTGTTAGTTCTGGTGAGAGGCGAGTGGTCAGCGTTGCTCCCTTCAGCCTGACCCCCCCCCCGCCCCCCCCTCCCCCCCGTCCTGTCGTCCGGCAGCTTCTGAGAAGGTCGTTGTCTTTGGTTTGAGGCCGTGCGGAGTGGGGTGTGGGTTTCTTTGTGTTTGTCCTGCTCGGCGTTTGCTGAGCTGCCTAGATCTGCAGGACGACATCTTTCATCGATTTGGGGAAATTTCCTGCTGTTCCCTCTTCAAGTATTTATCCCTCCAAGTATGTCTTTTGCCCTTTTTCTCTCTTTCCCAGGATCCCAGGTCCCCGTGTGCAGGACTGTCTCATGTGACCCCACAGCCGCTGATGCCCCGTGGTGTCTTTCTTCTCTCTCTCTCCCTCTGTGCTTCAGTCGGGATCATTTTGCGTCTCTGCGTGGACGGATCCTCTCTGTCGCGTTTGGTCTGCTTGGCAGCTGCCCGATGAATTCTTTTCCCATACTTTCAGTTGTTGAGTTTCCATTTGTTTCTCCCTTTGTGGAGTTTCTCTTTCTCTGTTTCAATCCTCCATCTCTTTGTCCTCTGTGTCCTTTAACAGCCTTCTAAGAGCAACTTCATAATCCTTGACACTGAATTCCAACATCTGTATCCTCTGTGGGTCTGCTTCTATAGGCTGTTTTTATTTTTGTTGGGTTTTTTTTTGAGGAAGACTAGCCCTGAGCTAACATCTGCTGCCAATCTTCCTCTTTTTGCTGAGGAAGACTGGCCCTGAGCTCACATTGGTGCCCATCCTCCTCTACTTTATGTGTGGGACGCCTGCCACAGCACAGCCTGATGAGCGGTGCAGAGGTCCATGCCGGGATCCGAACTGGCGAACCCCGGGCCGCTGAAGCGGAGCACACGAACTTGACCACTGTGCTACAAGGCGGGCCCCTGTAGGCTGTTTTTTCCCCCCTCTTGATTACGGGCAACATTTTGCTCTTGCACATCTCGTAATTTTTATTGCATCCCAGACAGTGGGTGTGAAGGCAGCAGCAGACATCCTTCCCCAGAAAGAGCACCCTCCTTCCTCCCCGGCAGCGTGGGCGGGGCTGGTCTCGCTGGGAGTGGAGCCACCTAATGCGGCTGGGCCTGCCCGGGGTCAGCGTCGGAGCCGGTCCACAGCTCCTCAAGTTTGCGTCTTGACCTGCCTCGTCTTCACTGCTGGCCCCGCGGTCTAGCAGGACTCTGGATTCTAGCAGGAAAGACGGCAGGACGTTTCCCGCTGCCTGTCCCCAGGCATTAAGCCAAGGCCCACGGGGGAGAATCTGCCGGCTTTTCCTGTGCCGCCTCGTTCCGGTCCGTTCCACCAGCCCACATGGGCGTCCGTGCTCCGCGGGCTTCCATCTGCCCGGAGGATGCCCTGCCCACAGCAGGCCCAGTCCCCACCAGACGCCGCGGGGGGACGCCCGAGCCCCTGCCCACCGAGGGCTCTCTCCTCCCTGGGGTTTACCCTCTGGATTTCTCAGCATCCTCATCCCTTTGACGTGTTTATAATTATATAGGATTCCTTCTTTTTAAGATTTTGTTATTTTAAGCTCAGGGTGTGCGATGTGCTGATCTGGTAGATTACAGACTGTGAAACGGATCCCACAGTCAAGGTGACTAACGCGGCCACCACCTCACGGTGCCTGTGTATGTGGTGAGAACACAAGATCCACTCTCGTAGCAAATCCCGAGAGTACAATACGGTGTTGTCAGCTGTTGTCCCCAGGTTGCCCCAGAAAGCTGGGCCCCTGTGACCAGCCCCTCCCCACCCCGGCACCCCCCGTTCTGCCCCCGGGGCTGCGAGTTCAGCTTTAATTCTGGATTCCACTTAAATAAGCCAGATGACACAGTGTTTGTCTTTCTGTAACGGGCTCATGTCACTGAGCATCGTCCTCCAGGCCCGGCCACATTGTTGCAAACGGCAGCATTGCCTGCTTTCCCAAGGCCTCTCGTGCCTGTGCGTGTCGTCTCGATCCCTTCCCCCGTCGCCGGAGCTTCGGTTGTCCCCACATCCTGGCTGCCGGCCGCGCACAGACCTCTTCAAAGTGCTGATCGCCTTTCCTCTGGCTGCGTGTATCCCCAGAAGGGGGGTTGCTGGACCACACGGTTGGTTGTATGTTCAGTTTTTTGAGGAAGCTGCATACCGTTCTCCACAGTGGCTGCACCTATATAGGATTTCTCTTTTTTTAAAGGAGTCAGGTGTTTGTTTATTTTTTGAGGAAGATTAGCCCTGAGCTAACTGCTGCCAATCCTCCTCTTTTTGCTGAGGAAGACTGGCCCTGAGCTCACATCCGTGCCCATCTTCCTCTACTTTATACGTGGGCCGCCTACCACAGCATGGCTTGCCAAGCGGTGCCATGTCCGCACCCAGGATCCGAACTGGCAAACCCCGGGCCGCTGAAGTGGAACGTGTGCACTTAACTGCTGTGCCACCGGGCCGGCCCCAAAAGTGTTTCTTAATTACCAAACCGGGGGGTTTTCTGTCATCTTCCTGTGATCGATGTCCACTCGGATCCCGCAGCAGGCCGCGCACGCCCTCGGCATGAGATGCATTATTCCCGTTCGGACTCCCCTGAGTGTCCCCATTTTGGCCGGGGCTTCCTGGGCCCGAGAGGCCGTGCTCCCCGGTGTCGGCTGCCGTGCTCCACACCCGGCAGACCGGCGGGGCTGCTGTCGGTCTGAGTCCTGACTTCCTGTGTCTGCTGTCCTGTCGCTGGGAGAGCCCTCTCACAGTGTCACGCTGTCAGCCTCCAGCCCCGCCCGTCTCTCGTTTGTGCTCAGTCCGCCCCCGACGTACGTCTTTGGACCCGTGCTGTGGCGCAGAGCTGGCCAGGACTGTCCCAGCTTCCTGTCGGGGACCCTTTCATCACCGTGAAACGTCCCTCTGGGTGTGAAGTGAGACTTAATGCCTTGGGGTCCACTGTCTAGTGTGACACAGGCGCGCCGGCCGTCTTTTGGTGTTTGTATGACTCTCTGTCTTTTATCTTCAGCCTTTCTGTATCTCGATGATTAAAGCAAGATACTCATAATGCGCCAGTCGTTTGCTTTGGGTTTGGTAGCCACTCTGACCGTCGGTCTTTTCGTCGGGGTATGTGAATCTGTGGCCCATCCAGTCCTCACCAACCAGGGCGCGTCTCAGTCCCCCGGGCTCGTTTCCTTTGGACTCCGTCAGTCTTTCGTCCTCACTCTCATTTTTGAAGCGCACAGAACTCTGGTTTGGGAGCCCTTTCTTCCTCCTGGCTGCTTTCAGGGTTTTCTCCTTGGCTTTTCAGCAGTTTGACTGTATGTGAGTTTTCTGTAATCCCAGTGTGGGTCACGGAGATTTTTAACTATGTGGATTGATGTCTTGATTCATTTTGGAAAATTCTTGGCTCCCCCCGTCAAGCACGGCCTGTGCCCACCCTGCGTCCTCCCCTCCTCTGTGTCTCCATCTCCTCAGCTCCCCTCTCGGTCCCCTCCCCTCCCGGCCACTGTCTTCACCTGGGCCATTTTCTCTCGCCTGGTTCTCTGGTTCCCTAATCCCGTCTTCTGTGCGCCGAGCCCCTGGGCGCTTCCTTACAGATGGCCTATCTTCCGGAACGTCAGACGCAGATGTGTCCCCACGCTGTTGACATTCTCCGTCACCGAGTCTGTTTCGTCCGCCGTTTGCTCTGCTGTCTTCAACACCCGACTTCCGGTAGCTCCGATTTCTGAACAGGCGTGGGTGCGTCTCCATGTGCTGTTTCTCAGCTCACTCTGTGACTTCTGCAGGATGCTGGCCATTGTCATGGCAACTGGCAGTACCAGGTTCCCGCCCGCGCACAGGGCGGCCAGGGGCCCAGCTGGACCTTGCTGGGCGCGGCTGCATCGTGCCAGGCGCAGCCCCAGGTCCCCAGGCAGAGCCCACAGGGTCCCCTCCCGGCACAGCCCCGTGGTGTCCCCGGGGCCCCTGCTGCTGCACAGAGGGGCAGGCCAGGAGCCCAGAGGTTTCGTGTGGAGGAGGATGGAGGGCACAGGGAGAGTCCTGAACCCCCGTGCTCCCCGCGCTCCCGAGGCCCGGGCGGAAGTCTGTGTGGGGAGCGGCGATCCCAGGGGCAGGCGGCCGCAGAGGGGGGCCGGGCCGCCGCTCCCCAGGAAGAAGCACGCGGGTCGGGGTGTGTTTCTTTCCTTTATTAAAAAAAATCATTTGGGGGCGCGGCGTGAGGAGGGCACACCTTTCACGGCTTCGGGGACACAGGTTCCAGAAGGAATCCCTGGGGCGGAGACATGGGGGGCGGGGGGGCGGCAGGGGCTGCGCCCTCCAGGTGTCCGGGCACAGCGCTCCCTGGTGGGGCAGCGGCGCCAGGACCATGGGTGCGGTGGCCGTCGGGGCGTGGCGTCCGCCCGGCAGACAGGGTGGGGCCTGTGCGCCCCGCTGCAGGGGCCGGCGGGGGCGTCCCGAGGCTGGGCCCTGGGGGGCCCTGCAGGGCCTCGAGGGGCTGAGCCCCCCCACCAGTCTCACTCTCCAGGGCTCAGGCCGGGGGCCCGGGGCCCGGGGTCACGGTGGCCTGAGCGTCCGCAGTGAACGGACCAGAACAAAAGGGACCCAAGAGCCCCCCGAGACGCGGGAGGAGCGCCCCCCACACACCGTCTCCTCCCGCAGAAACGGGGATCCAGGATGCACTGCCGTGTGCAGCTAACAGGACAGACAGGAGGCGACGTCCCACACGAGTCCTGGCTCCGGCGGCCGCAGGGACGGGGGACGCCCCACCCAGGGACCTGGCGGAGCCTCGGCTTGGGGCGGGCGCGGGCCAGTCTGCCCGCTGAGTCCTGGGGGAGTGTCGCCCGCCCCCGGCGCCTGTCCTGGCAGCCTGGCTCCCTGCACGGGGCGGCGCGGGCGGCCTAGGTGTAGAAGATGAGCTCGGGGATCTGGCCGTCCTCCACGGACGTCCCGTTGTTGTTCCCGGCCGCGTAGCAGAAGGTGAAGCACGTCTTGGCCCCCGTCGTGGGCGACTCGTGGGTCACCTTGCGCAGGCCCTTGGTGCCGTAGTGGGAGTCCGGGCCCTGCCGGGGTGGGGTCACGGCGAGGTGAGGACCCCGCGGGGCCGGGCCCCAGCAGGCCGGGGAGGGGCTGGGGCGGATGGCCAGCGAGGGGGCAGCAGCCCCACCCAGGTGTCGGGGCCTCAGGGCAGCGGCCCTCCAGGCGTGCGAGGCCCTCGCCCCTCCCGGCCGCCCAGCCCGGAGGTGGCCAGTGGGAGGGCAGTCGGGGTCCGGGGTGGGGTCTGGGGACCAGGGTCGAGGTGGGGGTCCCGGATGGGGTTCAGGGCTCCGAGTCGGGATGGGGTGTGGCCCGGGGAGGGGCTCCAGGGTCGGGTCGGCCGCGCACCTTGAGCGTGGCGCACGCCGTGTAGTTGACGTTGGGCAGCACCTCCACCGGCTCCTTGAACATGACGCGGAAGGTGCTGGCCGAGCCGTCGCAGCTGAAGCCCGTGTCGTTCTGGCCCAGGACGGTGTTGCTGTCCGTGTGGATGATCTGCGGGGCAGGGACGGGCGCTCACCCGCGGGACCGCACCGAGGCCGGGCGAGGGCAGAGCCCCACCCCAGGTCCGGAGCGGGGTCAGCCTGGGACCCGCGAGGAGCCCGACGGGGGCCGGGGAGGCAGGGCCCAGGGTCCCGCGGACTGTGGAACACCCCTCGCATCACGGGGGCGGGACACAGAGCAGAGCGGCGCTGAGACGGGTGGGACAGCGGCGGGGGCTGGGGGCGGGGCGCGGGGGGCCCTGGGCGGGGCCGGGGCCTGGGGGCGGGGCGCGCGGGGGCCCTGGGCGGGCCGGGCTGGGGGCGGGGCGCGCGGGGGCCCTGGCGGGGCCGGGGCCTGGGGGCGGGGCGCGCGGGGGGACCTGGGCGGGGCCGGGCGCGGGCGGCACCTGGATGTTCACTTGGTAGTCCGTGGGCCCGTGGATGGAGCCGTAGAGCCCAAAGCCGACCACGAAGATGCGCTTGCTGACCGAGAACCTGCCGCGGACGGAGGACGGGACGCTGGACTCCCGGAGGCCGCGAGAGCACGGCCGGCGCCCCCAGCGTGTCCGCCGCCCCGGCCCCCACCCCGCCCCGGCCGCGCACCTGATGCGGTCGCTGGTGCCGCTGTAGCCCCAGCGGCTCTCCACCTGCTGGAAGCGGTTGATGCTGCACTCCTTCCCGCGGAGGCAGCAGCGCGGCCGGTCGATGAAGTCCACGCGCGGCTTGGGGTTGACGGTGAAGTGCAGGAAGAGGCTGACCACCTCGCGGTCCACCAGGATGCCCGACTGCGCGGGTCCTGCGGGCACAGGGGGCGGAGCGTCGGCGCGGCAGGGGCGCGGGGTGAGCCCGAGGGCGGGGAGACCCCCAATGCCGGGACGGGCGGCTTGTCCGCGGCGTCTCAGAGGTGATGTCAGATTCCCTACAAACGTTAGGGGTCGGGGCGCCTGGCTTTTGGGGAGGGTCCCGCGCAGACGACGGCTGACCCGCTGATTCCTGGCTCGTTGGGCCAAGCCCCCTCCCTGCCCCAGGTCTCCTGCCTCCACTGGGGCCGCCACCCCTCGCGGACTACCTTTTGGGGTCACCCCTGGTTCACAGAGCAGGTGGCCGCCCTGTCCGTCCCCACACAGGGCCATCAGCGGCCGAGGGGCGACTGGCGGCTAGAAGCAGTCAGTGCTCCTGGCGGGGGGCTGAGAGGGGCTTCCACAGACGGGGAGATGACAGGTCCGGGAGGGGGAAACAGATGCAGAGATGTGACAGCGACAGGGGGGGTCACAGGTAGGGCTGGGGGCCGCTGGGCCACAGGGGCGGAAATCGGGGGCCGGGAACCTCACACACACCCCTGCCCGTCACCTCTCTGCCAGGAGGACAGAGCCCAGGACACAGCCCGCCCCACACGGTCCTCGAGTTCACAAGACTCGCTCATTTACCAGCTTTGAACACGTTTCCGCGTGAGGTCGGCCGGGGCAGTGCTCCGAGCCAACACGCGAGCCTCACCCGGGGGAACGGGGTCGGGGACAAGCAAGATACGAAATGGAGTTCAGAACGTTAACCACTGTCGCCTTTAATCTCTGCAGAGAAGACGCAGAAAGGATACACAGGGCAGGCTCGACCGCCGCCCGCCAGGGAGACGGGCTTCAAACGTCTGCTTTCTCCAGTTGTCAGGTGGACATCCTAAGCGGGGACTCTGACACAGCGTGACAAAGGGCCGGGGCCCGTGGGCGCCCCCTGCTGGCTCAGAGACAGGGCCACCAGGCCCAACGCAGACCCACAGGACACACACACTGTCCCTCCTGGTGCTGGCAAGGGGGGGCCATGGGGGGCAGCACAGGCTCCATTCTGAGGACGAGGGGACAGTCCTTCTTGGCAGGTGGTGTCACAGGGGCCTGAGACCTGGGGGGAGCGCTGCAAGGAGAGTGGTTTTGGGGGTGCAGGCCAGGCTGGAGCAGGAGGTGTCTTAGGTTGGGACAGTCGGACCCTGTCGCCCAGAGCTCTCACTAGGAATTTTGGCCCCCGGGGGACACTGGGCCCCATCTGGGGACATCTGTGGTCATCACAAGTGGGGTGCTCCTGGAATCAAGTGGGTGGGGGCCAGGGATGCTGTCCAACCCCCACAGTGCCCAAGACGGCCCCACAACAGCAAGCGACCCGCCCCGATGTCACAGTGCCCAGGCTGCCCCGGTCACCACGCACTGCCGGGGCCTGGGCCAAGGAAGGCTCCCTCAGTGTCTGATGAGTGACCCCAGAGCACACGGACAGTCTCTGAGGCATCACTCTGGCGCTGTGCACACGGCGGGCCGCCGGATAAGACACACGCAGGATTCCAGGCACATGTGATCTCAGGTCAAAGGCGACTGACCCATGGGGCAAGTGCCCCAGCCGAGGCCTGGGGGACACATTCTAGAAAGTTATCTGTTTGCTGTGTTGCTAAATGCGGTGACCCTAAGACTGGTGGGAACAGGGCAGTGCAGACCCAGGAGAGACAGGACGGTGGGTGTGCGCTGGCCACAGGGCTGCATCACAGAGCCCCGTCCAGAACCTTCCAGGCCTGCATGGCCCCAGGAAGTATGCATCCACACAGGGTGGGGGCACGGGCAGGGCCACCCCACACTGGCCCCGAGCCCCAGGCCTGCAGCCGCGGCCACTTCCCACCCCTTCATGGGGCTCGTCACGGACGCTGACGCCAGAGTCCGGCCCCCCAGGACACGAGCCCAAGACGGGGACCCTCAGTGGCCGGGGCACTCAACACATACATGTGGACAGCGAGACAGAGGGAGGGGACACAGAGACACAGGAGGGGCGGCACCAGGGGTCGTTCCAGGTTCACACGCTCAGGCAGGGTCCCAGCTCCCGAGGACACGGCGGGTCTGTCAGCAGCACACGGAGCACATGCGTGTCCCTGGCAGCGGGCTCGTGTGGGGGACACACAGCCAGGACACGTGACGGAGTCACACGCGGGGTCCCTGGGGGTCGGGCTCTGGAGCGGCCTCGCCCCCCTGCCCGTTACCTGCAGCGAACTCCTCGATGGTCATCAGTGGGAAGCGGATGAGGGCCAGTGCCTTGCCCAGAACCTTCCGCTTGTTCTCAGGTGTCACCTGCAGCTGCTGGCGCTGACACTCGGCCTCCGACCAGCGCACGACGGCGTTGAACAGGCGTGCCTCCCGGATGCCCAGGGTGTCCCGCTCCAGGACAGCCACCAGCGTGTCTGTGGGGACAGCCGGTCAGCGGGCGCCTGGCCGGGGCCTCCGCGTGGGCATGGCTGACTGCCGCAGGGCAGGCGGACCCCGCGGCAGCCCCCCGCACCGGCCCTACCCAGGTCGATGTCCGTGAAGCCCTCGGCGGTGATGGCGTCGGCCGTGTTCTTGTCGATGTTCTCCAGGCACAGGCTGGCGAGCTGTGGCTCGTCGAACAGGCGCGCCTGCGGGGAGAGCGCGGCAGCACCACCGCCCCAGGCTCAGCGCCCGCTCCCGGGCCTGCATGTCGGCCCGGGTGTCAGCCCGGGAGCCGGTGACACGTTCTCCCTCCAAGTTCCCGGCCTCGCGGTAACGCACCGGGGCCCAGCACATGCACGACCCCCTCCGGGCCTGCCAGCGCCTCTAACGCCGCGGCCCCCGCAGGTCAGGCCCGAGTGGGGGATAGCAGACAGGATGGACCCAGGAGATGTGCGCAGTCCCCTCGGGGCTGGCTGGAGCCACCGGGGAGAGGGCCACAAGTGACCGGCAGGACACGGGAGCCCAAGCCTGACCGTCCCAGGGTCAGGGTGCAGCCGCTCCATGAGGGACTCGCGCTCTGGCAGGCCAGGGATGGAGGAGACTCTGGTCTCTCTGCCCGGGACGCTGGTGGGCAGCGAGCCCCCGCGCCCTCTGCCCTGCGCTCTGCTGGGGCCCAGCTGGGACGCCCCCTGAGGCTGCCCCTCAGCAGATGGCCGGGCGGCCCTGTAACAGTCCTGGCTCAGGCCCTTTAGGGCGACTCAGTGAGCGGCGGTCAATGCCGAGGCCCAGGCGCCACCTCTGCGAGAGGGCTGCAGATCTGGCCTGTGGGGCTGTGACCGCCGGGGAGGGCGCCCCCACGCCCGGGCTGCCCCGTCCCCAGCCTTCCCGGCCTCCTGGCCCCCGTGGCTGCATTGGCCCCACCACAGCCTGTCCGTCCACACAGAGCCCAAGGGGGTTCCCTGGAGAAACCCCATGCCCGCCCCCAAAACCCATCACGACGCCCCGGGAGCCGTTAGCGCATCCCTGCCGCCACCAAGTGGATGGACGGCGACCTGGAAAGCCCATGGGGATGCGACTGGGGTGGGGGGTGAGGGGGCTCATCCTGGAGCAAAATTTAAGGGGCAAAACCTCAGAATCCCCCCAGGACCCCCAGCCCCCGGCCCTCCAGCCCGCTGTCACCCTTGTCCCCCTATCTCATGCCCCAGCTCCGTTTCCCTGGTCCCCCACCCCCTGGTCCCTTGTCCCGTCCCCGTTCCCCGTCCTGGCCCCGCACCTGTGTGAGCAGCATGAAGGCGTTGTCGGCGCGCAGGTTCTTCTTCAGGAACTCCACGCAGTGGGCCTCGAGCGCCGGCACCGCGTACTTCTTGGCCGTGTACAGCGTGGTCATGACCGTCTCGGGCCCGATCTGAACCTCATCCGAGTAGAGGAACCTGGAGGGGCAGCGGCCGTGAGGCAGGAGCCACCCAGCCCGGCCCCGGCGGCTGGTGGGACCCCAGCTCAGCCCGGCCCAGAGGGCCCCTCCAGAGCAGCAGCTGCTGCCCTCTGACCTGCAACGTGACCTGGCAAAAACATCCTGGGAAAAGCCCCACACTCCACCCGGGAAACGCAGCCCCACGGCAGGCAGGCCTGCTCCTGTCCCCACGCCAGGGCCCCCGTGGCACCGTAGGATCTGCCCTGGGACGTGGAGAGGTCCCCTCGCCTCCGCACCGGACGTCAGGCCTGACACAAAGCTCGGGGCACCAGGTAATGTCAGGAGCGGGGTCAGCCCGAGTCACAGATGCGCTCGGACCCTGCGGCCCTGGCTCCCTGTGAGGCCGGGCCCAGCTGGAGTGAACACGGCGCAGAGCAGCGGCAGACACGCCCGCTCCTGGGTCCCAGGCCCCCCAGAATGCGCTGGAAGCCCAGGCACGACCCCAACACAGCAGGTGGAGTCCCGCGGGGTCAGAGAGACCACGGGCCAAGGAGGCTGGGGATGCTGCTCACGCCCCTGGCACCCAGGGCGACCCCACAGAGAATGACCCGGCCCCATTGTCCGCAGTGCCGAAGGGGACCCTGCAATGGGGACAGGCCATCAGTGCGGAGGAGACAGGTGAGCCCCTCACGCCAGTGGCGGGTGTCCCAATGGTGACAGTGCCGACCCTCTCGGGGGGCAACCCTGCAACATTATCAAAACCGAGAGGGACGGAGAGGGGCACGGAGACGGAGAACGGACTGCGACGGGCCGCCGCCTGCGCTGCGCCTGAGGCGGGGCCAGCAAACCGCAACCTGCCACCTGGTTTGCGTTTTGATTTTTTTTTAATGGATATCATTTTCTTTTATTTTTTAAATTATGATAAAGTACACATACTATCCACCGTCCTCACCATTTTCAGGGTACAGCTCAGCAGCATGAAGCACATTCACGTTGCTGTGCAACCATCCCCTCCATCTGTCTCCAGAACTTTCCATCTCCCCAAACTGCAGCTCTGTCCCCATGAAGCACTGACTCCCACCCCTCCCCCAGCCCCTGGCCCCCCATCCACTTTCTGTGTCTGTGGATGTGGCTCCTGCAGGGACCCCCTGTGAGTGGACCACACAGTGTGTGTCCTTCTGTGTCTGGCTCATGTCACTGAGCATCACGTCCTCCAGGTCCATCCACGTGGGAGCAGGTGTCAGGACCTCCTTCCTTTTCAAGGCTGCGTAATATTCCAGCATCTAGATGTGTATGTCCATCATCTGTGGATGGACACTTGGGGGTGCTTCCACCTTTAGTCTGTGAATCACGCTGCTGTGGACATGGCATGCAGAGATCCGAGTCCCTGCTCCCACTTCCCTTGGGGACGTACCCAGGAGACGGACTGCTGGATCATACATCTCTTGAGTAAGTTTTTGAGGAACCTCCAGATTCTTTCCACAGTGGCTGCCCCATTTCAGATTCGCGCCAGCCATGCACAAGGGTCCCAACTTCCCCACACCCTCGCCAGCTCTTGTCGTTTTCCATTTTTTTAATAACAGTCGTCCTGCTGGGTGTGAAGTGGCATCTCATTGTGGTTTTGTCTCCTGTTTTTGTAAATAAAGTTTTCCTGACACGCAGCCCCACGCAGGTTACAAATCGCCCACGGCTGCTTCCACAGTGACGGCGGCCAGGCGAGTCGTGGGGGTGGAGCCCACGTGGCCGCACGGCCCAGGACATTTCCCCCGGCGGCCCGCAGGCCCCTGGTCGAGGGAAGGACCTGAGGAGGGAGGTCAGACGGATGAATGAGGTGTCCCAGAGAGCGGTCTGTAATCACGGACGCTGGGACCGGCCCCGGAGTCCAACATCACCGGATGCAGGCGAGGATGATGGGGCGTCCACGGACGGAAGCGGCCGGAACAAAATGATCCCCGGCGGCAAATGCTGGACGCGGGCTGAGGAAAGCGGGGACGGCGACACGATGGGGCAGAGGGGGCCGCGAGCACATGACACGAGCGGGGCATGAGCCAGCCGGGCGGGACCAGCCGCCAGCCCGTGGTGCTTGTCTGCGCGGGGAGAGGATGAGTGGAGCTCCACTTTTTCATTTACAGTTCTCGGTATTTTCTTAAAAAAGTGTTTTTGGGCGTGAGCTTGTGCCATTTTTATAATCAGAAGCGAAAAATCAACTGTACATCTAAAGGGCTGTCTTAACCGTTCGGGATAATCTTTAAAGTCCAGAGGCGGGAGGATCGTGCCCAGATGAGCACGGAGGGTGGCGGCCCGGCCCCTCGCGCTGCCTGCTGCTCCCCTCCTCCGCCCCAGGCAGGCGGGCGCTGTTTCCTGCGGCCCGGGCGCAGCCCCCACCCCGGGCTCTCACGGGGATCGTAAAGCACTTGAGAAAAGTTCTGACGCTCAAAAAGGAAAATACAGGTGGATTCAAAACTCTCACCTCATGCCACTTCTTTAAAATCTCTGTTGACTACAAAGGATCAAAATGGGGGACTCACATCCACACGGCACGTGGACGGACCTGAACCCACGACGCTTGGGGAGAGAAGCAGACACAGAAGGACACACGGCGTGTGACCCCATGGATGGGCGGGAAACGTCCAGAACAGGCAGATCCACAGACAGAGAGTGGGTTCGTGGGGGCCAGGGGCTGGGAGGGGGTGGGGGATGCTGATGGGCACGGGGCTGATTTTGGGGGGATGGAAATGCTCTGGAATTGGATAGTGGTGATAGCTGGACAACACTGTGAATATACTGAAAGCAAGTGAATTACACACTTTGGGTGAATTGTGTGGTATGTGAATTACACCTTGATAAAAATAAAAATGGGGTCTCCAGAGCCCCTCTCACTGTGGAGGCGAGTTCTAGAAATCTCCGGGGAGCCAGGGCTCTGGGGGCGCTGTCCCGCGGGTTTCATTCCCTCCTGAGCCGTCTGTAGACTGAGACGCCAGGCTCGCCGGCCGCGGGGTGAAGGGCCCACATGGCTTACTTGAGCAGCGCCAGGAAGGCGGCCGGCTCCACGTCGGGCAGCTCGATCTCGGTGGACGTGGTGGCCATTCCTCCGTTGAACATGGCGTCGAAGACGGCGCTGCCCACAGCCAGCACGAACCTGGTGGTCAGAGAAGAGCCGGTTACCCTCCATGTGGCACCCCGGTGCCCAGGCGCTGTCCAGGGCCATCTGGGGGCCAGTGCACCCGCCCCAGAGCCCAGGGGCACACGGCTGGGACACTCTGCCAGTGCCCGGCGGCGGATGGTGCTGGAGGAGGCTGAGGGGCGACAGGCGATTCCACGGTCAAGAGCAACACGAGGCCAGGGGGAGGTCATTCCCCGGGGACAGAATAGCCCAGGCCCTCTGCCGCTCCGCCAACGTCCACGCACTCGCACACTCATTCACTTGCACACTCACACACACACAGACGAGAAGTCCACATGAAGACGGAGGCAGAGGGGGGTGACGCAGCCACAAGCCCAGGGACGCGGGGGCCCCAGAGGCTGGAAGAGGCAGGAAGGACCCTCCCCAGGAGCCTCGGGGGGGGGAGCGGCCCTGCCCCCCTGGCTCTCAAGCATCGGGCTCCAGAGCTGGGAGAGGACGAAGGCCTGTGCGTTCCCGGCCCAAGGCGCTCGTGCCCGTCTAGCTGCCACCTCACCTGCATCACCACCCCCGCCCCGTCCATTCAGAACAGCAGCCGGGTCCCCAGGCCCCATGACGCCCTCCCACACAAGCTCCATAAATAAAGCGCCTTCCTGCTCGCCCTTCTTTCTACGCTTAAAAAAGCACCTCGCTCTCCTGCGGGGGAAACGATGCAAAGGCGGAAAGGGGAAGCGGCCCACCTGGGCCCGGCGCGGGTCCTGCAGAGCCACCAACGGGGCGGCCAAGGGCCTCACACACCCTCGGGGCCCTTGGCGGTGGACGTGCTGACAAACCGCAGGCCCTGCAAAGGCTGGCAGGTCCGAGGCAGGTGGGCCCCACCTCCAAGGCCCCTGCACCCATGCCCGGCCCACCCGGCCCCTCCTGGTCAGATGCCCCCAGGGTCATCAGGTTCCAGCCACCAGCACAGCCCTCGGTGCCTGCGCTCGCTCCTGCCTCCCGCCACCGGAGGCCCCGCCCCGCACCCGGTTGGCCTCCCCACGTGTCTTCCACCCTCCCCTCTCCTCCCACCTCCAAAAACGTAACAATCCACGCAAATCAAGCCACAGTGAGACGGCACCTCACCCACGAGGGCGGCTAGAATAAAAACATGGACAACAACAAGAGTCAAGGAGCATGTGGTGAAATCAGGCACGCGGGCACGCTGGTGGGGACGGAGGACGTGCAGCCGCTGTGAGAACAGTCTGGAGGCTCCAAAGGTGATCGGACATGGAGTTCCCAAGCGACCTGGCATTCCCCCCCTGTGTGTGTACCTGAGAGCAGTGAGCACACAGCCACGCAAAACCTGCACCCCCGTGCCCTTGGCAGTGTGTCCACAGCAGCTAGAGGGGGACAACCCAGTGTCCATCAGCAGACAGGCAGACAAACAAAACATGCCCATCCACCCACAGCCTGGAATATTACGCAGCCATGAAAAGGAAGGAGGTCCTGACACCTGCTCCCACGTGGACGGACCTGGAGGACGTGATGCTCAGTGACATGAGCCAGACACAGAGGGACACACACTGTGTGGTCCACTCACAGGAGGTCCCCAGAGGAGCCACAGCCACAGAGACAGAAGGTGGATGGGGGGCCAGGGGCTGGGGGAGGGGTGGGAGTCAGTGCTTCATGGGGACAGAGCTTCAGTTTGGGGAGATGGAAAGTTCTGGAGATGGATGGAGGAGCCTGGCTGCACAGCAACGTGACTGTGCTTCATGCCGCTGAGCTGTGCGCTTAAACATGGTGAGGACAGTGATTTTTTTTTTTAAGATTTTTATTTTTCCTTTTTCTCCCCAAAGCCCCTGGGTCCACAGTCGTGTATTTTTCAGTTGTGGGTCCTTCCAGTTGTGGCATGTGGGATGGCGCCTCAGCATGGCCTGACGAGCAGTGCCATGTCCACGCCCAGGCTCCCAGCTAGCGAAACCCTGGGCCGCAGAAGCAGAGCGCGGACTTCACCACTCGGCCCCGGGGCGGCCCCAGGATGGTGAATTTTATGCTATGTGTATTTTACCACAATTTGAAAATTTAAAAAGGACACGGTGACCCACTACCCTGAGGGGGCAGGGAAGAAAAGGCCACCGAAGTGGCTTTGGAAACCAGGTGAAGGCAAACGGAACCGTCCAGCACGCCGCACTCGAGTTAGCAAGTGCGCTCCTCACAGGAGAGGGGGCCGCACTCCGACGCAACCTCACGAATAGTCCAGGGTCACACGACTAAGCAGACACGTCGCGGAGAAGGAAGCCAGGCTCTCGCCGCGGGAGAAAGGGCTACAAACGGGGCGAGGAGGACTTCCACGGGGCTGACCGCAGGCGGGCCTCAGGACGGTCTCGTGGGTGGGCGGCTGGACGGATGGATGGAGGGACAGACAGACACAGGAATACACCCAGCGGGCAGTAAGTCCCCTCCCAGCGTCGGCTCGGGGGGCATCTCAGCAGTGACAGCCCAGCAGCAGCGTCCAGGTCTTGGATCAAAAGCCCGTCCTCCATGGACGGGAACCAGGCTCCCTGGAGAAACGGCCGATCCAGGGCCAGGCGGGGAAAGGACAGGACGAGCTGGGGGTGCCCTGGGGGTCAGCAAGGAGAGGAGAGCTCCCAACATGGCGGGGAAGGTCGAAGGGACACAGGAGCCACTCCAAGGTCCCCAACGGCCAAATCCGGGACAAGATGAGCAACGAAACAGTGATCGTGCTGGACGACCACCCAGGATGAAACACGTGGCCACGAGCCCAGGGGGACACAAGTCAATAACCGAATGGACAGACGACTCGGGAGAAGGGCCGGCTCCTCCTCTGGGAACTCCAGCTAACAAACACAGACGGGGCAACGGAAGCACAGCATCGCTGCAAATCAAAGACCAGAGCAAAGGCTGCCTCCAGGGAGAAGCACCACCCCAGATGCCACAACCACGGGCAGAAGCAGGAGAAACGGGATGTCTGCGGTCTCAACGTCGACGCGGGAAGACTTATGAACAGGGACGGTGGTGACGGTACGGTGCAGAAACTCGCAGACGCCACCCTACGCCATGACCAGGGCTCACGTCGCCAGAGATGGGACGGGCGGACACCGCGGGCCTGAGAAGGACACGCACCAGCGCCTGGCCTCCGACAACACAGGGATGAAAGTGGGAAGACGGGAACAGACACGCGGGACTGACGGAAGCCGTGGGGGAGCCGGAGCGGCTGCACTCACACCAGACAGGACAGACGGTCAGACGGGGCACATTCCCAGGGAACGGGCATTCCCAAGGAGCAGATGGTCAGCACGCCAGGACCAGGTACCAGTGACCAGCGTCCCCACACCTAGGAACAGAGTCCCCAAAGACGCCAAGCAGGGACTGAATGTGAAAAGGAGAAATTCAACTATTATGGTCAGAGGTTTCCAGGCCTCACTCTCAGAGACGGACAGAACCAGCCAGAATGCCAGCAAGGACATGGACAGAACAGCCCCATCAGGCGACCTGACTGAACCCACCTTCACGGCGCCCTCGACCCCACAGCTGCAGGAGGCACGTTCTTCTTCAGGGCATGTGGAACCTTCTCCAGGACAGACCGCGTGCAAAATGACGCAAACACACAAAGGGGCTGCCACCAGTCAGAGCACGTGCTCCAGACACAGAGGAATTAGCTCACCGATCGACGACAGAAGAAGTCTGAGACATCCCCCAATATTTGGAAATCAAACACGCTTCTAAGTAACCTGTGGGCCAAAGGAACACGAGGGAAATTAGAAAACATCTTCACTGGGATGAAGAAGAAAATATGACGCATCAAAATGCATGGGATGCAGCCAAAACGGAACTTAGAGGTAAATATTATCTAGTAAAGAAGGATCTAGAATCAATGAGGTAACTTCCATCTCAAGAATCTAGACCGTGAAGAACAAATCAAACCCAAAGAAGGAAGGAAATGATAAAGACAAGAGTGGAGTTGACGGGATTGGGAATGGGGGAAAAAGAAAATCAATGAAGCCAAAAGGTTGCTCTCTGGAAAAACATCAACCATCACTAAAACTTTAGCTAGGCTGATCAAGAAAAAAACGTACAAATTACCAAAATCAGGGACAGAAGAGGGGACATCACTACAGACCCTAAAGAAGGTGAACGGATCTTAAAACAACGCTGTGTCAACAGATGAAGGCAACGCAGACGAAAGGAACTGTCTCCTAGAAGGACACAGCGCCCGAAACCGACGCGTGGAGAAAGAGACAACGGAAACAAACAGGGCAAGTAAAGAGAAGCAGCTCGTAATGAGACAGCTTCCCACGAAGGAAAGCTTCCCCAGATGGCTTCGCGGGGGACAGTCTAGCAAGCAACGCAGAAGTAACACCCGCCCTCGGCCAAGTATTCCCGAAAACAGAGAGGGAGGGAGCATGTCCCGACTCGCCTGTACGGCCGAGGACACGGTGCGGCCACCTGAGACAACAGCTCGGTGGTGTCAGGAGCAAGCGTTACTCCTCGAGGTGCCCAGGCCACCCCCGGTGTTCATCCCCACACGTGGATCTGCACACGAGCGCTCACAGAGCACCGCTCAGCACCGGGCGACACTGGGAGAGCCACACGCCGGCCACCTGGTGAACGGGCGTCCACACGGCGGGAGCCAGCAATGAGAAGACACGAACCACGGAGACTCGCAACATGGGCACGAAGCTCAAGGACTTTAAAGAAAGGGGCCGGGCCGAAGACGACATATTTCTCACTCGAGTTATAGCAATTTTATAGAGACGGCAAAACTAGAGAGACGGGAAGCAGAAGGGGGACAGCCTGGGGCTCGGGGTGGGAGTGGGGACCGGCTGGAAGGGGACAGAGGGAACCGTTCCCGGTGACGGGAAGCATTCTGAAACTGGCCGTGGTGGGGGCCACACGATTGTATAAACCTCCTACGCGGATGATCGCCAGGACAAACCAACCAGAACCCAGTACCGACGGCACTCGGTGACGTCGCCCCACACCTCAGGGAAACTCCCAGGAGACAAGGACGCACAGAA